TGAACAGCCACAGATCTATTTTCTGTCTCTGCAGATTTCCCAGATCTGGATATTTCATGTATAGGATCGTGATTTTCTGTGACTGGTGTCTTGCACGTAGCATGATGTTGTTACAGGCCTTGTTGTAGCAGGTGTGAGCGCTTCCTTTCTGTTTTGTAGCCTCCTGATACTCTGTTGGACAGATTTTACACATGTTGTCCATCTGTTCATCAGTCGATGGGCATTTGGACTGTGTCCATCTTTTGGCTGTTATGAATAATAATGCTGCTATAAAGATTTATGTAAAGTTTTTGTTAGACATATGTTTTCATTTCTCTTAGGTATATACCTAGAAGTGGGATTTTCGGGTCATACGGTTATCCGTATGTTTAATTGTTTATTTATTAGTTTATATTTGTTTGAGGAACTACCAGACTATTTTCCAAAGAAACTGTACCATCTCACATTCCCACCAACAATGTATGAAGGTTCTGATTTCTTCCCATCCTTGTCAACACTTGGATTCCAGCCATCTTGTGAGCCTCAAGTGGTAACTTCATTGTAGTTTTGATTTGCATTTTCCTGTGCTGATTGGCCACTTGTGTACCTTCCTCGGGGATATGTATGCTCAGAACCTTTGCCTAATTTTGGGTCAGGTTGCTCGGTTTTTGTTTTTCTGTTTTTTTTTTGCTGTTGTTGAGTTGTAGGAGTTCTTTATATATTTTGGATATACGATTTGCAAAGATTTCCTCCTATTCTGTGGGCTGCCTTTTCACTCTGTTGACAGTGTCCCTTGGTGCAACAAAGTTTTTATAAGTTTGATGAAGTCCAGCTTGTCTATTTTTCTTTGTTGCGTGTGCTTTTGTTGTCATAACCAAGAAATCATTACCAAATTTAATGTTAGGAAGCTTTTCCTCTATGATTTTTTTTCCAAGAGTTTTAGAGTTTTAGTTCTTAAGTTTAGGTCTGTGACCTGTTTTGAGTTAATTTTTATATATGGTATAACTTAAGGGTCCAACTTTTTTTTTTTGGCATGTGAATATCCAGTTTTCCCAACACCATTTGTTTAAGAGACTGTCATTTCCCCTTTCAATGGTCTTGGCACCCTTGTTGAGAATATTTTGAGCATATATGAGAGGGTTTATTTCTAGGCTCTCTCTTCTATTCCGTTGGTCTGTTACACCGTTTTGGTTGCTGTAGGTTTGCAGTAAGTTTTAAAATCAAGAAGTGTGAGACCTCTACCTTTGTTCATTTTCAGGATTATTTTGTCTCTTTGTAGTCCCTTGAGATCCATCCCATATGAATTTTAAGATGGATTTTTCTATTTCTGCAGAAAACATTATTGGGATTTTGATAGGCTTTGTGTTGAATCTATAGGTCGCTTTTGGTGATCTTTGCTCCTTTCTTTGATGTTTTTTAATGTCATATCACATTTTTCTGACTTGTTTGAAAAAGAGATTTTCAGAGTTTTAAAATATGATGTATGAACTCCAGCTTGTAGCATCCCATCAGCTTTCTTTAGGACTCTATCTAAATGATGAGAGTCTTATTTTCATACCCCTCTTTTCTTTCTTCACCTCCTTTCCACCAGCAAATGTTTTGCTTTTCCACTTCGTAGACTCAATTCTCCACTTTCTGTTAACATTCTGTCCATTGAAAATTTTTTGTTATCAAGTATAGGAAGGTGGTGGCGTGAAGGTCACAGAAGATGTGTACATGATTTATAAATTAAAAGCATTTTGGATCAAAGCCCAAATGGAAGATAATGGGGAAAATTCAAATAATTAGAGGGCATAGGAGGAGGGAATTGTAGTTATGTTGAAAATTCAGTTTTGTATTGTGTTGAAGAATTATGCAGATTTAAGAGACAAGACTGTACTCTATTTAATTCAAAACTATGAATAAATCAGAGAAGTTTGGCAACATCCATGAAGCATAGATTTAAAGAACAGAAGTACTGTCTTCCATATACAAAGGATTTGATTTGAATTGAATATATTCCCTGATCACTCATGAGCTGGTTTTTTTTTTTTTTTAAGATTTTACTTATTTATTTGAGAGAGAGAGAGAGAGAGAGAACGAGCAGGGGGAGTGGCAGAGAGAGAGGGAGAAGCAGACTCCCCGCTGAGCAGGGAGCCCAATGTGGGGCTCGATCCCAGGACCCCGGGATCATGACCTGAGCCGAAGGCAGACACTTAATTGACTGAGCCACCCAGGTGCCCCATGAGCTGGTTTTTAATAACAGTGCCTTTATAGCAATATATCATATGCGGCACAGGTACATGTGGAGGTATGTATTCTGCTCCTACTAATACACTTCAGCAAAGAGAGGGACCTACTCGATGTCTGTGTTCTGATTAGTACCTTCACTCAGTTGGGTGTATTTATTCTAGGTGAAATTTAAGGTCTCTTCTCATTCTCTATGCTGCTTCTTAGACTATATTTAAAGTATACCCTTTCTGTCTTTTAAAGATGGATTTCTTAAGTGAGAGAGGCTCACTGTATGTCATACACTCTTCATTTTTACAGTCAGATAACCTGTGTTGGATTCCTGCTTCTGTCTCTTACTAGCTGCGTGATTTTGATGAAGTTTTTAGTCTTTCTTAAGCCTCGTTTTTTAAATCTTACAAGTGAGGAAGACAGTTCCTATGTTGTAGGGATGTTCGGATGAGAGAGTACTTAAGGTTTCTGATAGTACCTAGCACATGATTGGTCACTCTGAAAATAATTAGTGACTAGTTGTGATATTTTTCAAAATGTAGTATGTTGTAGTTGAGATCAAGGTCTGAAGTTAAAATAATTGTAATATCAGAGCAGTTCACGTAAATGAACCTGCAAGAATAGAGAGATATATGCAAGGATTAATATGGAGAAAAAGTAGAAGATAAAAAATAAATTCTAGTATAGACAAGGAAGCTAATGTGCTTGGAGAGAATCCTTACTACTAATAATTCGTACCTAGCTTCTAGTTTTTACCTGGTTCTATCAATAATGACATTTTAGAAATCTTGTTTACATTCTATTTTATTTTCTATTTTTTTTTTTTAACTTTCTTAAGGTGGTGTTGATACTATTGATTTGAGGCCTTTCTTGTTTTCTGATATAGGTGTTTGGTGCTATAATTGTCCCTCCCACTACTGCTTTAGCAACATCCCACAAATTCGCCTGTATTTTATTGCATTTCTAAATACTTTCTGATTTTATTTATTTATTTGATAGATACATGGGTTATTTGGAACTGGGCTATTTAATTTCCAAATACTTGGCAATTTTCCATGTGTTTCTGCTGGGATTTCTAATTTAATTCCATTGTGCTCAGTGCACATACTTTGTTACCTGAATCCTTTTAAATTTATTAGGACTTGTGTTGACCATGACCATGAATGTCATCTCTTGGTAAATGTTCTCTCTGCACTTGAGAAGAATGTGTATTCTGTTGATGTTGGAGAGACTTTCTGTCACTGTCAGGTCAAATTGGTTCATAGTTTGTTCAGGTCTTCAATATGCCTATTGATTTTCTCCTTGTTCTATCAATTATTGAGAGAGGGGTATTTAAATCTCTGGCTACATTTGTGGATTTGTGTTTTTCTTCTGCAGTTCTATCAGGTTTTTGCTTCATATATTTTGAAACTCAGTAATTAGGTGTATAAATTTCAATATTGTTATGTCCTCTTGATGGTGTAACCCTTTTATCATTGTGAAATGACCTTTTATCTCCTTCAATATTCTTTGCTTTGAATTCTACTTTCTCTGACATAAATTCAGCCATTCTAGCTCTTTTCAAATCTTTCTACATGTCTGATAAAATCCAAGCATCTTGCTATTGCTTTGTATTTGATGATAAAAAAGAGAGTTCTCTTTTGGCACTTAGTAGACTAAATAGTACTCAGAACTTAGTCTAATGGAAGAAAAACCCAGTTAATGAGAAGTTATGATAAAGTGTGGTCATCATGAAACTGATGGGAGTACAGTACCAGCGGATCTTGGAAGATCCAGGAAAGTTCTTTTTTGGAGGCAACAACTAAATCGAAGCCTTAGATTGAAAAAGGAGTGGGAGTAGAATGGCACAGTTGAGGGCAGAATTGGTCAGAGAGCAGTGTGTTGTGAAGCCTGAAGGTAGCAGTGTTTTGGGGGACTGAAAACAGGATGATGACCAGTGCCTAAAGTTAGGGATATAATCAGATATGACCAGAACGGTCATCAGTGCCAGATTATGAAGATTGTAATAGTAATGGTGGCTCACTTTTGTGAGTCCTTCCTGTGTGCCAGGCAAGTGTTGTGAGGGTTAAGCAAGATAACCTATTAGGTAAATAGTATTGTTACAACCATTGTGAAATGAGGAAGTGAAGTGTGCAGGGAGCACAGAGAGTTTGAATAACTTGCCCAAGGCTAAGACAGACAGGAGCTAGAACTTCACCACAGTTACTCTGACTCTATAGAGAGTCCTGGCTTTTAACCATTATGCTTGTCTGTGTCTATGATTTTGAAGACAAAACAGAGCCTGAACTTGATCCTGTTCACAATGTGGAGTTCTCTGAGGACATAAATAAAATAAGTAAATAAAATTCGTGTTTTAAAAGCATCACCCTGGCTATAGTTGATGTCTGGGGAGGTGCGGAGAAGCTGCCCAGAGATAGAGTTGAAAAATGTTTATGTTCTCTATGAAGCATATGCTGATTTTAAAATGAAAGTAGTTCTTAACTTCTCCGTAGTTCAATTTCCTTATCTAGTAAATGGAAACGATAATGGTCTCATTCTCGCGGGGGGAGTATAAAACAATCACATTGCATAAAATTGTATGGGGCAGATACACGATAAACTCGAGCTGGGATGATGATGATGTTGTTGATGAGGATTGACTGACCTTGAAAATCAAGCTTAAGTTTTTAATCATGTTTTTCTTCTTTTTTTTTTAATTTAGAAGTTTTACTGTAGAACTTACAGATAGGACTTCAGTAGCTACAGTACAATAAAATGTTAACCACTGCCTTCTCCCCACTACTGTCATTTTGGTTTTTCAGTTTATGGGAAAAACAGATGGAGACTATTACACTCTCGATGACCTGTTTGTCTCCAAAGCAGCTGAGAGAGAACCTTCTGGTGAAGAGGAAGAGAACCAGAGGAGGAAAGCAATTGCTGAGCACCAGAGTCTGGCTGCACAAATGGAAAGATGTCTGTATTGTTTGGACAGCTCTCAGTTTCCCAAGCACCTCATTGTTGCCATAGGTGTTAAGGTAAGAAATAGAACATTTATTGCCGTGAGGAACTGATGTAGTACTTTGTGCAGATTTGCCTCTTTCTTGAGACACTTAGAGGATTCCAGTTTGTCTTCTCTTATTCTGTGTTTCAAATATTTTTCTTTTCTAACTTCCCATGATTCTTAGAATCTTTTTTAGAGCGAGTGTAAATATTTAGGTGACATGAAGCTCACATTTTGTGTGATTCTGCCCATTAGAGAAGCAAAATTGGGAAGTGCTTGAGGCTCTGAACTCTGGAGCCGGCCCACCTGGACTCAGCTTCTGGCTCTGCCCCTTACCAGCTGTGTGACCTTATTCTCATGGTCGGCACTTGATACTTAGTATTAAAATCACTTCAGAAATACTCAGGCTAAAGTGGTTTCTGCTCCTTCCCTTACTTTCTCATAGAACCTATTTGTTTCTTCATAGAATATCTCATAATTCAAAAAATTTTACTCTATTTTACTCGCTTATTGAGTCCCTCTCCTAATAGTAAGTTCTATGAAGAACAAAAAGTAAGTCTTAGTCATCATTGTACACTAAGCATGTATCCCGTTGTTTACCAAACATATATCCCGTTGTATGTCAAGAATATGTGTTTGTAGTCACTTACTTCAAGAAATATTTGGCGACTTACACTTAAATATAAGTAAATAATTATTGTGTACCTGATACATACCAGACCCTTATTAGTAACTGGGGAAAAGTAGACTCAGATGTACTTTTGGAGCTTGTGTTGTAGTAAAATAGGGCAGAAAATAAAGTAGTAATTGTCCTAACTGAAGAAGAGTGTTGTCCTAAAGCAAATGAAGCATGGAAATGGGATAAAATGATGGGACTTTTTGAGACAGTGGTTAGAAGGCCCCTTTTAGGAGGTATTTTAGTAAAGCTACGAGAGAGAGAAGGAGCAGGCGACATGAAGATAGGAATGGCCCCTGTTTGCGGGGGGGGGGCCTCTGGGAGTGAGGAGCCCTGAGGGGAGCACGCGCTGGGCGTGCACGGAGCGGGGAGGCCAGGGCAGCTGGAGTGTAGCAGGAGGGGAAGTTGAATGAATGAGTGCTAGTTCAGGAACTGAGAGTTTGGGCACCACACATATGCATGTTTATTGATTAGTTTGTTTCTCACATACACGTGACATACACCTTATGTATCCAATGAACTGGCATTGGTGTTTCCATTCCAACTCTAGTCTTTAATATTTGTAGGTTGTTAAGACTGTCGACTTACCAGTTTATATTTTGGTTTCTTTATTTCCTTACCCTTCTTCTGCTTCTTTCTTTCCTTCCAAACTTTACCAAAAAGGTAAATGTAAAACTCCCATTTAAAATTTATTCAATTAAAAAAACTCCCACCATAACCAGTAACTTGTATTGATTTGTCTGAATTATTTCCCAGACCTTTACATAAACAGTAAAATTTTTGTAATTACAACATTATACATTTTTCATTCCTCTTCAGTCTGACCCCCATCTTTAAAAAGTGTAGGAACAGATCAAACATAAAGTGACATTTAAATGTTTCCTACTGTACCTGAGGAGAAGTTTGGAGTTTTTCCAGTGGGTCCTTCATGTCCCTGGTGCTGGGGACGGGCTGCGTCGCAGGGAGGCACACAGGAGCTGAGGCACGGACCTGCTGTTGGCTTCCTGCTGGGTAGGCTGCATCCCAATGTAGGCATTTCTCAGTCCACTTGTGAAAGCAGATGGCTGGCCAGTGAACAGACGTTTTCTGTTTCTTACAACCTGTCTTTCCCCGTTTTCCTTGGTGGTCCTCTTCTGCAGTGGGGTAACCCACGCTTTCCAAGCAGTCTTGTCTAATGGTATTAAATCCTTCTCTTTGCCTATAACTTCCCAAGAGTTGGCTGATCTGTTTGTTCCCTTGTGGACTTGTCTTTGCACTTTGGTTTCATTTAAAAAACCACTTGAGCCTCTCCTTTCCCCACCTATGCTTTATTGTGCTATCTTTGCTCTAGAAACTACCATCGACATTCAGCTTTTTGTCTTGGAATATTTTAATGTACAAATATTGATTAGAAGGAATTTCTTCCGTGTCCTACAATATCTGACGAATGGGTCATTTAATTCATGTGAATAAACAATAATGAATTATTCCTTTTAGTTATTACCTAAGTTAGTCATATATGATTTTGAGTTTCTAAGGAATTACTTTGCCATTTAGTTGAAACAATAAATAGTATTTCAAAGCAATTCAGTAACTCTCCGTCACCCTGAATTTCTGATATTTAAAATTGATGTCTTCAATGCAGATATATTAATGAAGCTATATTAGTACTCATTAGAGTCACAGAGTTAGAAATAACTTTTGATCATCACCTGTCCCTCCCTTCTCCTTTTTTAAAAATAAAAATCTTCTTCCACCTTGTCTTAACACTGTCCTTTACTTTTTTTTAAATTTAATTTAATTTTATTATGTTATGTTAGTCACTATACAGTACATCATTAGTTTTTTTTTTTTTTTT